GAAGCCCCTCCCTCCCTCCCTCCCTCCCTCCCGCTCACCAAGGACAGGAGGCTCCATCGCCCGCTGACAGGGAGGCAGGGAGGCAGGGAAGGAGGGAGGGAGGGAGGGGCCTAGGAAAGGGAGGGGAGGCCTCGATGGCGGCGGCCATGATGAGGGAGGCTTCGTCCCTTCGGCCCCTCTCTCTCTCTCTCTCTCTCTCACCCTCACTCCCTCCTCCTCCCCTCCCACCCAAAGGGAGCGAGGCCCTACCTGCCTGCCTGCCTGCCTGCCTGCTTGTCTCTCTCTCTCTCTCGGCTTCAACGGCCGCTTTCCCTCCTCACGCAACAATGGCGGACGCAGAGGTTCTTGCTGAGACCGGCCGGACAAGAAGCCCCGCCTCCTCCTCCTCCTCCTCCTCCTCTAGCCGCCCTTCGCCCTCCCATTGGCTGAGTCCGGGAAGCCCCGCATTCTGACGGCCTCCTATTGGCTGCTTACAGCCCTCCGGCTTTGATTGACGGGTTGCCAATCCGAGCCGGAGTGCGTCAGGAAGGCAGGCAGAGCAGCCAATGGCGGCCCCCGCTGGGCGGGGCGTCCCGGGCTCAGCCAATGGGAGAGCGCGGAAGGCGGGCTTCTTCTCCTCCTCCTTCTTCTTCAGAGCCTCTCCGTCCGCCATTGCTGCCTGAGGCGGAGGCTGAAGCACACACACACACACACGCAGAGAGAGAGAGAGAGAGAGAGAGAGAGGTCTGTATCTCGATCTGCCGCCCTTGCCTGGGGTTTCCCGGGGATATTTATTTATTTACTTACTTACTTCCTAAGGGGAGGAAGACAGCCCCACCTTGTCTCCCTTTTTATGCTAATGATATCATGTATTGTGTTGTTGTTGTTGTTGTTCATTCGTTCAGTCGTCTCCGACTCTTCGTGACCTCATGGACCAGCCCACGCCAGAGCTCCCTGTCGGCCGTCACCACCCCCAGGGTCTCCTTCAAGGTCAGTCCAGTCACTTCAAGGATGCCATCCATCCATCTTGCCCTTGGTCGGCCCCTCTTCCTTTTGCCTTCCACCTTCCCCAGCATCACTCCCTTCTCCAGGCTTGGCTGTCTTCTCAACCCCCGAGGGGGGACTCGGGGCGCCTTACAAAAAGGCACAATTTGATGCCTAACAATTCACAAAATACAGTAGAATCCTAGAATCCTAGAAGAGTTGGAAGAGACCCCCTCCTGGGCCCTCATCCAGTCCAACCCCCTTCTGCCAAGAAGCAGGAATATTGCATTCAAAGCACCCCTGACAGATGGCCACCCAGCCTCTGTTTAAAAGCTTCCAAAGAAGCAGCCTCCACCACACTCCCTCCGGGGAAGGCAGAGAGTTCCACTGCTGAACGGATCTCACAGTCAGGAAGTTCTTCACAATAGAATCCTAGAAGAGTTGGAAGAGCCCTCCTGGGCCATCCTCCAGTCCACCTCCCTTCTGCCAAGAAGCAGGAATATTGCATTCAAAGCACCCCTGACAGATGGCCACCCAGCCCCTGTTTAAAAGCTTCCAAAGAAGGAGCCTCCTTCCACCACACTCCCGCTGGGGCAGAGAGTTCCACTGCTGAACAGCTCTCACAGTCAGGAAGTTCTTCCCCGTGTTCAGGTGGAATCTCCTCTCTTGTAGTTTGAAGCCATTGTTCCATTGCGTCCTAGTCTCCAAGGAAGCAGAAAACAAGCTTGCTCCCTCCTCCTCCTCCCTGTGGCTTCCTCTCACATATTTATTCATGGCCCTCATCATATCTCCTCTCAGCCTTCTCTTCTTCAGGCTAAACATGCCCAGCTCCTTCAGCCGCTCCTCATAGGGCTTGTTCTCCAGACCCTGGATCATTTGAGTCGCCCTCCTCTGGACACATTCCAGCTTGTCAATATCTCTCTTGAATTGTGGTGCCCAGAATTGGACACAATATTCCAGGTGTGGTCTAACCAAGGCAGAATAGAGCATGGGGAGCATTACTTCCCTGGATCTAGACTCTAGGCTCCTCTTGATGCAGGCCAACATCCCATTGGCTTTTTTTGCCGCCACATCACATTGTTGGCTCATGTTTAACTTCCTGTCCACGAGGACTCCGAGATCTTTTTCACACGTACTGCTCTCGAGCCAGGCCTCATTGTCCCCCATTCTGTCTCTATTTCCCAGTTGTCAATCATTCTTGTTGCCATAATCTTGGTGTTTTTTTTTTATGTTTAGCTGCAACCCGGCTTTTGCGCTTTCTTCTTTCACCTTGATGAGAAGGCTCCTCAGCTCCTCCTCGCTTTCGGCCATCAAAGTGGTGTCATCTGCATATCTAAGGTTGTTCATGTTTCTTCCAGCAGTTTTCACCCCAGCCTTGCATTCGTCAAGCCCTGCATGTGTCGCATGATGTGTTCTGCATACAAGTGGAATAGGTTGGGGGAGAGTATACAACCCCGCCGGATGCCTTTCCCAAATCATCTGTCAGGGGTGATTTGAATGCAATATTCCTGCTCTTGGCAGAATGGGGTTGGACTGGATGATGGCCCAGGAGGGGGTCTCTCCCAACTCTTTAATTCTAGGATTCCATGATTCTATCTTGAACCAGTCTGTTGTTCCATGGTCAGTTCTGACTGTTGCTACTTGGTCCTTGTACAGATTCCTCAGGAGAGAGGGAAGGGGGCTTGGGATGCCCATCCCACCAAGAACTTGCCACAATTTATGATGATCCACACAGTCAAAGGCTTTGGAATAGTCAATGAAGCAGAAGTAGATGTTTTTCTGAACTCCCTGCCTTTCTCCATTATCCCAGCATCCGGATATTGGCAATCTGGTCTCTCGTTCCCTGCCTTTTCTAAACCCAGCTTGTCCATCTGGCAAAACTTGCAGTTACTCAAGTCGCTCTTGACATACACAAAAAAATGTTTTGTCTTTTTAAATATTTCCATTTTTGTTGGATACTCTGCTGTATGGTTGTTGTTGTTGTTCATTCGTTCAGTCGTCTCCGACTCTTCGTGACCTCATGGACCAGCCCATGCCAGAGCTCCCTGTCAGCCGTTACCACCCCCAGCTCCCTCAAGGTCAGTCCAGTCACTTCAAGGATGCCATCCATCCATCTTGCCCTTGGTCGGCCCCTATTCCTTTTTCCTTCCATTTTCCCCAGCATAATTGTCTTCTCTTTACTGACTATTATGTTGGCTAAAGTACTTCCTCTTTGCCTCTAATATTCTTCCCTCCAGTGAGCAGTTGGGCCTTATTTCCTGGAGGATGGACTGGTTTGATCTTCCAAGGCACTCTCAGCATTTTCCTCCCACTTCACAGTTCAAAAGCGTTGATCTTCCTTTGCTCAGTCTTCCTTATGGTCCAGCTCTCACATCCGTAGGTGACTACAGGGAATACCGTGGCTTTGACTAGGCGGATCTTTGTTGCCAGTCTGATGTCTCTACTCTTTACTATTTTATCGAGACTGGACATTGCTCTCCTCCCAAGAAGAAGCGTCTTCTGATTTCCTGGCTACAGTCTGCATCTGCAGTAATCTTTGCACCTAGAAATACAAAGTCTGTCACGGCCTCCACGGTTTCTCCTTCTATTTTCCAGTTGTCAATCATTCTTGTTGCCAGTACAATATGGTAATATATAATACTGATATTGTGCTATGCTAATAATATTGGTGTATATGTGTGTGCTCATATACACACAATATACATATACACATCTAAACACACAAATACACGTATACACACATATATACATGCACACACATCTATACACCCATATATATATATATATATATATATAGGTGTATAGATGTGTGTGCATGTATATATTAGGGCTGGGCAACCACGGAAAAATTTGTTTCTAAACTCCCGTTTTTGCGTTTCTATTTTTAAATTAATTCTGAAATTTTCCTTAAATTTTTTTCGATATTTATGAAATTTCGTAAATTACGAATCGATTACGAAACAATTACGAATCGATTCATTAATGGCGGGCGCGATTGCACAGTATGCTAAAAAAACCTCCAAATGGGACAGGAAGCTTCCCTCTCCCTCTGTTGTTGTCTGTTGGTGTGATAATTTATTTTTTTTTCACTGAGAAAACAAACAACGACTATAAAACTTGCACCAGACATGCGGAAATAATAACGAAAAGATTTCGAATCGATTACGAAACAATTACGAAACGAATTGAAAAAAATTCGTTTCGTTTTTTAGTTGCTCCTGAATGGTTCAATATCGCTTCGTTATAAAAAAAATAACGAATTAATAACGAATTACGAAATTAACGAACGAAACCGCCCAGCCCTAGTGTATATATATATACACACACACACATACATAAACACATTTATACATAGACTGTGCCACAGCAATGCGTGGCAGGGAACGGTTAGTAATAGTAATAATAATACGGTATTATAATTATATATTGTATGCTACATTCAATATTACTAAGAGTATTACAGTATAATGGTATAGTACAATACAGTAATATATAATACTGATATTGTGCTATTCTAATAATATAATATTAGCATGGCACAATATCTTGCAAGCCGCTCTGAGTCCCCTTTGGAGTGAGAAGGGCGGCATATACATGTCGTAAATTAATTAATTAATATTTCTACCCCGCCTTTCTCTACCCAGCAGGAGATTCAAGCCGCCTTAAAAACCAATTCAATTACAACAATTAAATTACATTAAAATCAGACTTATTAAACATTTAAAAACATTACAACAAAAATCACACCACCCATAGTCGTAGTTCAAGCCTTTCCATCGGCATTCCAGTAGAGCCTTGCTTATCCAACATAAACAGGCCAGCAGAACCTTGGATAAGCGAAAATGTTGGATAATAAGGAGGGATTCAGGAAAAGGCCATTAAATGTCAAAGTACGTTATGATTTCACAAATTAAGCGCCAAAACATCATGTTTTACAACAAATCAACAAAAAAGAAGCTCAGTACACAATAACGTTATGTAGTCATTACTTTATTTATGAATATAGCACCAAAACAGAGTTCGTTCTTTCTTTTTCCTACCCTGGACATTATTCCGGGCAGGAGGCAGACTGTGCTGGATAATACAGAATGTTGGATGATCGACGGTTGGATAAGCCAGACTCGACGGAATTCCAAAACTCTCACTGCACTTACCTGTTCACTAAAAGCCTGATCCCATAGCCAAGTTTTTACTTCTCTTCTGAAGGCCAGGAGGGAGGGGGCAGATCTACTGTCGTTGGGGAGGGAGTTCCATAACTGAGGGGCCACCACTGAGAAGGCCCTGTCTCTCATTCTTACTAGTCGCACCTACAACAGAGGCAGGGCCTCCCCAGATGATCATGATCTCTGTGATGGTTGATAGAAGGAGATGCATTCAGGCAGGTAAGCTGGGCCGTAACCACTTTGAATTGTGCTCCGTAGCAGACTGGCAGCCAGTGGAACTGACGTACCAGGGGGATGGTATGCTCCCTGGACGATGCTCCATCCGTTGGACCATTTGGAGCTTCCGAACAGTCTTCAGAGGCAACCCATCCTAGAGCGTGTTGCAGTAATCTATTCTGGATGTAACTAAGGTGTGAACCACCGCACCTTCTCTTCTTGGGAAATATTATTCCCAAGCATTGAAAAAGGCCCAAAGGTTGATTCATTGAGATCAGTCTCTCTGTGTGTAAGTGTATATGTATATTTATTGCTCATTCCTTCCCCTTCATGCTGAAAACTGCCTAAACCATTTGTTACGTAATGGCCTTCTGTCAATGAGGGACCTCCAAGTCACCTTATCATCCACAGTCCTGCTCAGGTCTTGCAAACTCGGGGCGGTGGCTTCCTTGACTCACTCTCCCCATTTGTAGTCAACATTCAATTTATTTATTATTTATTTATTTTGAGGTTTTATATACCGACCCTCTCACCTTCAAAGAGGGATTTGGACCGGTTCACAACATGTGTTAACATACAAAGAATATACAATAACAACACAATGCCACTTCATTACACGATTAAAATATCAGCACCATACACATTAAAACATTATCGTCCCAGTTAAAAGAGCCAAATCGTCCGACACCATCACAATCCCATTCATCCTCCTCCTTTCATGTGGGCAAAGAATTAAATCAGTTGTCAAATGCCGCGCTCCACAACCAGGTCTTTGTTAGTTTCCTGAACGTCATGAGGGAGGGGGCAGTTCTGATCTCTAATGGCAGGGAGTTCCAAAGTCGAGGGGCCACCATTGAGAAGGCCCTGTCCCTCGTCCCCACCAGCCATGCTTGTGCAGGCGGGGGGACCGAGAGCAGGGCCCCTCCAGACGATCTTAGTGGTCTTGATGGTTCGTAGGGGAGAATACGTTCGGAGAGGTAAACTGGGCCGGAGTCATTTAGGGCTTTATAGATTAACACCAGCACTTTGAATTGTGCTCGGAAGCTAATTGGCAGCCAGTGGAGTTCGAGTAACAGCGGAGTGGTGTGCTCCCTGTACCCAGCACCCGTTAGTAATCTGGCTGCTGCGCATTGTACTTGCTGCGTACCTGTGTTTTTAAGGGGAGCGTGACCATGTCCAGCACAGGCTGTAACCCCGTACCCTGTTCGGCCTTACGACTGACCAGGAGTACTTCTGTCTTGTCTGGATTTAGTTTCAATCTGTTGTCCCTCATCCAGTCCGAGACAGCGGCCAAGCACCGGTTCATGACCTGGACAGCCTCCTTAGTGGCAGGTGGAAAAGAGTGATAGAGTTGGACATCATCTGCGTACAGATGACATTCAAGTCAACATTCATGAGCATTACATTCAAGTCAACATTCATGAGCATTCCTATGTAAATATTACTCCTATTTTGTTCAGATACAAAATGCCTTGAGTTCATAGTATCTTTTAATCTCCTGCAAATTAGATTGTAATCTAACACATCTGGGGAAAGTTGAATGGAGGAAGCTGATATACAGGGTGAGGCAGCATAACTTCCTTTATTAAATGCGCGCCATTCAGTCGGTTGAAGACGTAGCGGAGCGCTAGTGGTCTCGTTCGAGAGGCGGGAGTATCAAGTTTTGTCCCGACACAGTCCAGTCGCCATCCTGCGTTGGAACTGTGAGGAGCGTGCTTTTGCCGTTGAGCCCTACTTTTTGAGCGGATTTACAGTGGCTGGCCCGCTCTCCAGATTTGGCCCCTTGTGATTTTTTTCTATGGTTTTTTGAAATCTCGTGTTTCAAGAATCCTAGAATCCTAGAGTTGGAAGAGACCTCCTGGGCCATCATCCAGTCCAACCCCATTCTGCCAAGAAGCAGGAGCCTCCACCACACTCTGGGGCAGAGAGTTCCACTGCTGAACGGCTCTCACAGTCAGGAAGTTCTTCCTCGTGTTCAGATGGAATCTCCTCTCTTGTAGTTTGAAGCCATTCTTCCCTTGCGTCCTAGTCTCCAAGGAAGCAGAAAACAAGCTTGCTCCCTCCTCCTCCCTGTGGCTTCCTCTCACATATCTATACATGGCTCTCATCATGTCTCCTCTCAGCCTTCTCTTCTTCAGGCTAAACATGCCCAGATCCTTAAGCCGCTCCTCATAGGGCTTGTTCTCCAGACCCATTTTGGTCACCCTCCTCTGGACACATTTGAAGACCAACATCCAGGAAGAAAGTGCCAACGTAATGCCTGCAATGCTGGCAAGAGTAATGACAAACGCCAGAAATCGGTTTACTCAGTGTATGGAAAATGGGGGACGTCACCTACCTAATTTGATCTTCAAAACTACGTAAAACAAAACTTTAGGTATGCGCCTACATTATTAAAAAAAAACTGATTCATACAATGGGTTTTATTAAGTTTTGAAAAAAGGAAGTTATGCTGCCTCGCCCTGTAGTGTAAAATAGGCAGTTTTCTTGGTAAGACAGTATTTGGCTTGAATAAAACAGAGGGAGAAATAGGCTCCTTGCCCGGCCTACCATAAAACAATGCTGCCACATGTTGAGTAGCACTTATCTGGAATTCCAAAACCTGAAAAGACTCAAAAATCATCCACAGGAGTAGTGAGGTAGAAATACCTTTTGTCTTCTGATGTCTCCATGTAGAATCATAGAATCAAAGAGTTGGAAGAGACCTCATGGGCCATCCAGTCCAACCCCATTCTGCCAAGAAACAGGAATATTGCATTCAAATCACCACTGACAGATGGCCATCCAGCCTCTGCTTAAAAGCCTCCAAAGAAGAAGCCTCCACCACACTCCGGGGCAGAGAGTTCCACTGCTGAACGGCTCTCACAGTCAGGAAGTTCTTCCTAATGTTCAGATGGAATCTCCTCTCTTGTAGTTTGAAGCCATTGTTCCATTGTGTCCTAGTCTCCAAGGAAGCGGAAAACAAGCTTGCTCCCTCTTCCCTGTGGCTTCCTCTCCCATATTTATACATGGCTATCATGTCTCCTCTCAGCCTTCTCTTCTTCAGGCTAAACATGCCCAGTTCCCTAAGCCGCTCCTCATGGGGCTTGTTCTCCAGACCCTTGATCATTTTAGTCGCCCTCCTCTGGACACATTCCAGCTTGTCAATCTCTCTCTTGAATTGTGGTGCCCAGAATTGGACACAATATTCCAGGTGTGGTCTAACCAAAACAGAATAGAGGGGTAGCATTACTTCCCTGGATCTAGACACTAGGCTCCTCTTGATTCAGGCCAAAATCCCATTGGCTTTTTTTGCCGCCACATCACATTGTTGGCTCATGTTCTCCTTCCTCCCCACGAGGACTCCAAGATCTTTTTCACATGTACTGCTCTCGAGCCAGGCCTCATTGTCCCCCATTCTGTATCTTTGCATTTCATTTTTTCTGCCAAAGTGGAGTATCTTACATTTGTCACTGTGCCCAGACTTCGTTTCATGCACAAGATTATTATAAATATTGTTTCTAAAAAGTAGGTACATTCAAGCTACCGTATTTTCTGATCTATAAGACGACATTTTAAACCTGGAAAATTCTCTCAGAAGTCAGGTGTTGTCTTATATGCCGGTATAAAAGTTGGGATATACTCAAGTCTTCCAGGCGGCTTCTCTTCCTCCTCCTCCTCTCCGTCACCCAGTGGTTCCCAACCTCGCGTCGCCTCCTCCTCCTCCTCGTCTGCTGCCACTGTCAGCCGAGGCGGGCATGGAGTGGAGGAGCCCCTCGGGGGGGCTGAAGCCGGCAGCAGCGGGGGCACAGCAGCAGCAGCAGCTACCTTATATGAGTCTACACTGACCATAGTTTGAGTCTACACTGACCAGACTATAGTTGTTGTTTTTGTTATGTGCCTTCAAGTTGTTTCAGGTTTAGGGAACCTCTTTCACTTAATTTTCTTATCAAGATGGATTCAAAGGGGATTTGGCTTTGTCTTCCTCTTAGTCTCACATCGGGCTCAAGATTCAAACCATTACACCACGCTTTCTGAATACTTTCCCTCTTTTTCCTGTGTGCCTTTCTTCCTTTTCTCCTTGCCTCCTCCCGCTCTCCATTTTGGAGAGAGCAAGAACGGGGTGGAGAGGGTTCCCTCCGTTTTGGAGGAAAATAGGGAGAGGAAAACAAAGCAAAAGACAGTGCAAGAGGATCCCTCCATTTGGGAGAGACAGAGGAAAGCTATGCAATGGAGGGTTCTGGAGGAAGAACGGAGTACACAGGATTTCTTCATTTTGTAGTGTGATAGAGAGCAAAGGAGAGTTAAAGAGCAAGAAGGGGTGGTGATAGCAGTGAGAGTGTGAATGGCAATGGTGGTGTCAGGAGCCAATTTCTGAAGGCATGAAGACATCACAGATTCCCTCCGTGACATCCTGACTGAATCAATTCTCTCTGTGATATTCTGAAGCCAGTAGAGGGTGCAAGAAACCATGTTATGAAACTTGTGAAGCAACAAGTTCTAATAAGGAAACTGAGAAGAGGGAGAGATGGGCAGGAAAGGTGTATAAAAGGAAGTGATGGTGGGAAAATGTCAGGAGTGTCTTTTTTGCTGCAGATACGAGCAATATATCCATTTCAAAGCAAGCCGGCTTGTGAGTGGTTATTTACTATTGCTATTTAGATCCTACAGTCTGACAGGTGGGGATCGACCCAATGAATTCAGTGTGATGTTTCAGTATTGGAAGCAGTTCCCCTTCCTTCCTCTTCTATCATTCATTCTTTTCTCTCTCCCACTGTCCTCCTCCCTCCTTTCTTTTCTTCCTTCTTTCTGGTTTCATCCCCTTGTTTTTTGAGAATCAGTGGTTACCTTTACTAGGGTTTTTTTTGTATGTGCTTGAGACCCTGATGCTTGCATTTCTTGATATTTCCATTTTCAACATGACCCATGAATGGTAAAAGGGGAAATCTTGGAGGTAAATAAGGTTTCTGGCTTTCATCCTTAATCTTTTCCTTCTTTTTTGACCAGGGAAATGAGGATTCTGTGGAGACACTTCTTGGATGCAGTGAGGAAGCCAATAGAACAGGAAGACACAATCCACTCAAGGTGATAATCTTGCTGAATTCAGATAAGGAAGGAAGGAAGAAGAGTCAAGTATCTGTATTGCAATTAGGCACCAATATCACTGTTAACATGAAGGAGGAAGCATTTAAATGCCTGGTGTGTGGCAAGAGTTTCACTCGGAGGATTCATCTGCAGCAACACGAAAGGACTCACACTGGGGAGAAGCCTTACGAATGCCTGGAGTGCGGAAAGAGCTTTGCGCAGAGTGGGACTCTACATTCACATCAAAGGACCCACACTGGGGAGAAACCCTATACATGCCTGGAGTGTGGACAGAGCTTTGCTCGTAGTACAGTTCTGCATAGACATCAAAGGATTCATACTGGGGAGAAACCTTATACATGCCTGGAGTGTGGACAGAGCTTCTCTCAGAGTTCAGGTCTACATTCACATCAAAGGACTCACAGTGGGGAGAAACCCTATACATGCCCGGAGTGTGGACAGAGTTTTGCTGATAGTACAGTTCTACGTTCACATCAAAGGATTCATACTGGGGAGAAACCCTATCCATGCCTGGAGTGTGGGCAGAGCTTTATTCAGAGGGGGCATCTACGTAGGCATCAAAGGACTCACACTGGGGAGAAACCCTATCCATGCCTGGAGTGTGGAAAGAGCTTCACTCAGAGGGGACATCTAAATTCACATAAAAGGATTCACACTGGGGAAAAACCCTATAAATGCTCCGAGTGTGAGCAGAGCTTCACTCATAGTTCAAATCTACGTTCACATCAACGAACCCACACTGGGGAAAAACCCTATACATGCCTGGAATGTGGGCAGAGCTTCACTTATAGTACAGGTCTCCGTTTGCATCAAAAGATTCATACTGGGGAAAAACCATATACCTGCCTGGAGTGCGGACAAAGCTTCAGTCTTAATTCAGGCCTACGTTCACATCAGATGACTCACACTGGGGAGAAACCCTATACATGCCAGGAGTGTGGACAGAGCTTCACTAAGAATTCAAATCTACGTTCACATGAAAGGACTCACGCTGTGGAAAAACCCTATAAATGCCTGGAGTGTGGAAAGAGTTTCACTCAGAGTGGAAATCTGCGTTCACATCAAAGGACTCACACGGGAGAGAAACCCTATACGTGCCTGCAGTGTGGACAGAGCTTCACTGACAATTCAGGTCTATATAGACATAAACGCATTCACACTGGGGTGAAACCTTATACATGCCTGGAGTGTGGACAGAGCTTCACTCGTAGTTCAAGTCTACTTAGTCACCAGTGGACTCACTCTGGGGAGAAACCCAATACATGCCATGAGTGTGGAAAGAGCTTCACAGACAGTGGAAATTTACATAAGCATCAAAGGACTCACACTGGGGAGAAACCCTATAAACACATGGCATGTGGAAAGAGCTTCTCTGAGAGTTCAAGTCTATAGACATGGAGTTCACATTGGAAAGAACAGTGGTATTTAACCCCATAGAGATTCTCCAAGCCAGAGTTTTCCAAACTTTTCATGTAGGTGACATACTTTTTAGGCTTGCATCCTTTCGCAGCACAATAATTCAGTTTTACTAGCAAACCAGTGGTTAAGACAACCTCATATAACATTTTCAATATATATTATATAGTGCAATATCATAATATAGAGAGATAATTTTTATATGGTCTTTACATTTTAACTTACGTATTGTCACGTTGCCAGGGCTCTGCCAATATTTAAGCAGAGATGAACCAAACCCCCAGTGTGTGTTAAACAATTTAATTAAAACAGCACTTACTTTCTGGATGTTTTAATAGTCCAAAACATAAAACACAAGGATAGCACTCAGCCACAGAATATAAAACAAAAACAGCAAACACTGTTGCAGGTTCAAGATACTCTGTAGTCAAAAGGTCCAGTCCAGTGGTCAAATGCTGAGAGTTCAATAAACTCAAGAGGACCAAGAGTCTATACTGTAGCCAAAAGTCAGTCCAAAGATTCAAGGTTCCAGGATTCCAAGGAGACAGGTCAGGACACCGAAAATCCACAAACCTGGGGGAAAATCAGCAGCATCTACCACCAAAATACGACAAATACTTTTCTCCCGAAGATCAGTCCCAAGGTTCGCTCCTTATATCCAGAAACACCCAGCTGCGACCCATTTCTTGCATGCCTCCACCTTTCCTTGCTTTCACCCATGAACTCTTACTTACAGAATACTCAACCCTTTGGAACTAAGACTTAGATTAACCCTTCCATCATCAACTGCTAGGCCTACCACCACCATCAACTGCAGAACATGATACATGACACATATTTTAACTAGTAACTATTGTTACATTTTTGAGGTCCTGTTTAATTGAGTTGTGTCTTTTTAATTTCTGTAAATGCCAAAACACAAATTTTACAAGCTTGGTAGTTGATTAAATGTCCTTTGACCAGTCTCTGGCCCCTTGGAGTGCCTCTGGTGTTGCCGCAAGAAGGTCCTCCATGGTGCATGTGGCAGGGCTCAGGTTGCATTGCAGCAGGTGGTCTCTGGTTTGCTCTTCTCCGCACTCACATGTCGTGGATTCCTCTTTGTGGCCCGGTTTCTGAAGGTTGGCTCTGCATCTCGTGGTGCCAGAGCGCAGTCTGTTCAGCGCCTTCCACATCGCCCCGTCTTCTGTGTGCCCAGGGGGGAGTATCCTTCTACTAATCTCCTATGCTAGTTATTTGTTATGTATGTAATTGTGTTTGCTTACTATATTGTACGTATATGATTTAGTATGCGGTCTTCCCTTAACTCTGTGTTGTTTGAGGTTGTGGGAGGGACTGCAGACCATGTATCCAGATCTGGGACTATTCAGACTAAGACTCCATTTTAGAAGCCAGTTTTGTATCGTATGGTGTGTGTGTCAGAGTTTTACTCTTCAGAAGCAGTACAGTTTAGAAGTTACTCAGTGTCAGTATGCTGCAGGGTATAGTCAGTCTTTATTGAGTCAATGTTCAGTAGTGTATTAGAACGAAGAAAGTGTTAGTCTGCATGCAACAATGCAATTGGACAATGATTTTAATAAGGAGACGCCGAAGATTTCATTTTTACAGGCTGTATTGTTTTTAGATCACATTATAAATGTTTTAATTGTATTTATAATTGTTTTAACTGTATCTTTATGATTGTTATGGCATCGAATCGCTGCCGACTGTGAACTGCCTTGAGTTGCCTTTGGCTGAGAAAGGCGATATATAAATGCGGTAAATAAGTAAATAAATAAATAAGAGATTAAAACAGAATGCTTTAGAGAACGAGTTGTTTAAATTATTTATTATTTACAGTTTTGAAGGCAACTGTATGTGAGCACCTGTTTTTCATCTGTTAATGATTATACTCAGTAAACTTCTAAACTTCTATAAATCCCTAAACGACTCCGGCCCAGTTTACCTGTGCGAACGGATTCTCCTCTATGAACCATTAAGGTTGTTAAGATCTTCTGGAGGGACCCTGCTCTCGTTCCCACCTCCTTCGCAATCGCGTCTGGTGGGGACGAGGGACAGGGCCTTCTCGGTGGTGGCCCCTCGGCTCTGGAACTCTCTCCCGTTGGAGATTAGATCTGCCCCTTCCCTCCTGACTTTCAGAAAGCTGGTAAAATCTTGGCTTTGGAACATAGCATTTGCAGAATGATAACTGAGTCAATAACCGCTGACCACACAGGTGGATGGTGATGAATTTGTGATTTTACTCTGACGACCTGGCTTTTGTAATTGTATAATCTGTATTTTAATGTATTTTATGTATTAATGTATTATTATGCTATTACGTTTATTCTATGTGTGTATGAATTTTCTGCTGTTAGCCGGCCTGATTCCCTGTTCGGAGGTCGAGAAGACCGGGTTATAAAAGCTCTAAATAAATAAATAAATAAATGTCAGATACTATCTGCGCATGTGCGGGAAGGTTGATTCTCTACTATATATACTGGAGCAATTGAGACTTGAAGGTGTGACAGCCCTTTGTAAGCTGTTCACTTTATTTTTGCAAAACAGTAAAGGCCTGGAAATCGATCTGCTATCTCCATTCTCTTCCTTCCTGATGTGCTCGAATGAATTGGGTAACGTATGCCGCAACACTTTGACTATTGACTCTGGAGGTCAGAGTTTAAATCTCTGCTCAGCTATGGAATCTCGGGTCTAACTTTGGCCCAGGCACACTCTCTCAGCCTTAGAAGCTGGCCATAGGCAACCAATCTGCTTAATTAATTAACAAATCTATGACTAACTCTTAAAAGGCTTTGCTGTTTAGTGGTTGATAGCAAGCTCTTATCAACTACCTCACTCAGGGCAGAAGCAGCATGGCTCTCAGTTCCCTTTTTATTGCTTAGATCTTATTGACCTGTCTCCCAAAGTTCACATGGCCAAAAATAATATCATACCTGACATTAACAAAGCCAACATCTTGAAATATGTGGGTCTGTCACACTCAAAATGGCCATATTATTTTCCTTTTGCTGTTTGACTTCTAATATCCCTGCCTAACAAAGAAGCCAATGGAAATTTGAAATCTTGCAGGGTGTAGCTAGCGTGTCTCAAGCGCGGCTGGTGTGGACGAAGGAGAGGGCCTCCTCGGTGGTGGCCCCTTCCCCAGCTCTGGAATTCTCTGCCTAGGGAGATCAGGATGGCACGCACTCCATTTTCTGCAAGAACCTAAAAACATGGATGTTCTGCTGTGCCTTTGATTAGGCAGTTTACCAGATAATTTGGGTCATAGAGGATGGAGCAATAGCACCCCCTGTGGCTGGACCCAACCTTCCATGGCATTGAAACAACACACCTCCTTTCTGTTCTGTCTGTCTGTGTACTCTCTATTCAAAGCGGCATTGACTGCTTGCTGTGTATGTGTGCTGTGATTCACCCTGAGTCCCCTTCAGGGTGAGAAGAGTCATAGGTTGCCTATCTGTAACCATGGTTTCCTGAGTAGTCACCTGTGAATTCGCACATATGATATCTCTGCGCCTGCGCAGAATAGCTTTCGGAACCTTCTAGAATAAAGAAAAAATGCTTGACTCCTGGCTGGCCCCACCCACCTCGCCCTCGAGTATAAGTAGCCCGTGGGAGGGGCCAGCCACCAGTTCTCTTCCGCCGCAAGGCAGCCAGAAGGCGGGGCATGACACTCGAGGGGAGGACGGGTGGGGATGTGCGAATTCACAGGTGACTACTCAGGAAACCATGGTTACAGGTAGGCAACCTATGATTTCCTGTCGTAGTCCCTGTGAATCGCACATATGATAGATTAGCGAGCTTCTAACCTTGGATGGTGGGCGTCATGCCACCGCTGAAAACAGAACAGCTCTACCAAACTGCGCGTCTCTCTTGGACATGACATCTATCTTGTAATGGGTAACAAAGGAGAGGGAGGACGACCATATAGCCGCCCGGCAAACAGCGTCCAATGGAACGCCCCTCCAGTGGGCAGTAGATGTCGAAACGGATCTCGTCGAATGACCTCTCACCAGAAGAGGCAGGTCCCTGCCAGTTATGCGATAGGACAGTTGAATTGTGGATACGATCCAAGAGGACAGTCGTTGTGATGAGACCGGCAAACCCAAAACGTCAGAACGGTATTTTATGAAAAGCTTAGGTGTCTTTCTAATGGAGGCAGTTCTGTCCACGTAGAAAGCCAGCGCCCTGCGAACATCAAGTACATGCAGGTTACGTTCCAAAAGAGAAGTGGGATTTTGGAAGAAGGAGGGTAAGATCAGGTCCTGGGAGAGATGGAAAGACGTAGCCACCTTAGGGAGAAAGGCTATATCGGTCCTCAGGACAACCTTGTCGCTATGAAATTTGAGGTAAGGGGGATCTGCTCTGAGAGCGCACAGCTCGCTAGCCCGTCGAGCCGATGTGACCGCCACCAGGAAAGCAGTCTTCCACGATAGGTGGGGTAGGCTAATGGTAGCCAATGGTTCAAATGGAGGGTTCATTAGCACCTTGAGCACCAGCTCCAAGTGCCATGAGGGGACCACGGGAGCTATAGGGGGTCTAATGTTCAGGATTCCCCTCAGAAACGTCTTTACTAGTGGATCCGAGAAACAGGAGGGCATTCCCGACTTCCTGCGGAACCAGGAGATGGCGGCCGGGTAACATTTTATAGAGGGATGAGTCAGACCTGCGTCCAAGAGGGACGCCAAGAAATCCAATACGACGGGAATCGGGACAGTATTGGGGTCTATCTTGCGAGACCTTGAAAAGGAGGAAAACCTGGACCACTTGCAGAGATAGGAACGTTTGGTAGAGGGTCTGTGAGCCGCCTCAATAATGCGGAGGACAGCGTGAGGCAGGTCGGAGAAGGAACTTAAGCGACGGGCAGGATCCGCCAGGCTGTGAGCCTCAGTTTGTGTACCTCTGGGTACAGTACTTGGTCTTGTTGGCATGTCAATAGGTCGGGCCTGGCGGGAAGATGTACAAAGATCCCCCGCACTAGGCGGCGAAGTGGGGAGAACCACGGCTGCCTCGGCCACCAGGGTGTTATCAAGATGCAGCAGGTGTTGTCCCTCTGGGCCTTCGCTACTGTGCGCAGCAGTAGAGGGAAGGGGGGGGAAGGCGTAGGTCGTCCATCCTGTCCATGTGTGCAGGAAGGCGTCCCCCAGACAACCCTCCTCCATGCAGGTGTGAGCCCTCGCACAAAAGGGGGCATTTGGCATTGGACTTTGTTGCAAATAGGTCGATGTCCGGGGTCCCCCATGCACGGAAGAGCTTGTGGACTTCTTCCCAATTGAGGGACCACTCGTGGTGAGCCAGCGGGTTGCGGCTGAGGGAATCCGCCAGCACATTGTTCCCCAGGTACGTGTGTTGTTAGCAAGTGAATCCCCCTGTCTATACACCACTCCCATATCTGTGTGGACAGAGTCAAGAGGGTTGGGGAGTGTGTGCCGCCCTGCTTGTTCAGGTAATACATTACCGTGGTGTTGTCGGTAAGTACCTGTATTACCTGGCCTGTGACCACCCTTTCGAAGGACTTTAGAGCCCTGTCGATGGCCATGAGTTCTAGAACGTTTATGTGGAGCTCTTTTTCTTGATCTGACCACATGCCGTGTGCAACCAAACCCTGAGAATGTGTACCCCAACCCGTGAGGGAAGAATCCGTGGTAACAGTTCTCGTAGCAGGGGGAATGTGGAACGACAGCCCCGAACAGGCCCATGCAAGGTCCAACCAGCACCGGAGCAACAAACGAACCCAAGGGGGAATGGACAATTTGGTTGAAGGGCTGTCCAGCAGAGGGTTGAAGTTGGACAGGAACCAGGATTGGAGCGGGCGCATGCGTAGCCTGGCGTATAGGATGGCTGATGTAGTGAAGGCCATGTGTCCCAGCAGGACCTGGAGTTGTCTGGCTGTCACGTGAGGCTCGGCCAGGACCTGCTCGACCAGATCCCTGATAGTGGCGAAGCGTTCTTTCGGGAGGTAGGCCTTCTTGCGGACGGAGTCCAGGAGCACCCCGATGAACAGGATTCACTGCGTCGGTACCAGGACGGACTTCTCCCGATTGAGAACGAGGCCCAGGGACTGGAGGAGAGACAAAACCATGGAAACATGCATTTGAAGTTCACGGTAAATCTCGGTCACAATCAGTCAATCGTCAATATAGGGGTAACCCGTGACTCCCCTGGTTCTAAGGTGAGCCATCACCACGGCCATGCATTTGGTAAAGACCCGTGGGGCTGTGGAGAGGCCAAAGGGGAGGACATTGAAACAGTATGACTGACTGTTGACCCTAAAGGATAGAAATCTTCGGTGGTGAGGGGCAATAGCAATATGAAAGTATGCGTCCTTGAGGTCGACGGTAGCGAACCAGGTGCGTTTCGGTAACAGTGGGGTTATAGAAGCAAGAGTCGCCATGCGAAATCTTTTCGGTTTAATATGTTTATTGAGCTCTCGCAGGTCCAAGATGGGACGCAGCCCACCATCTTTCTTAATCACCAGAAAGTAACGGGAATAAAAACAGAGGGGAGCAACCGCGGGGTCAACGAGGGAAACGGCCCCTTTATCTAACAACATTCTGATTTCTTGCATAAGTTGCATGGAAAACGGGGTATCCCGGAACAACCCAACTCTGGGGGTGTCCTCAAACTCAATCGAGTAACCACCTGAAACGATAGACAATACCCAAACATCTGAAGTGATTTCCTCCCATGCGGGGTAGAAACTGGAGAGGCGGTCCGTGAAATAGGGCAACGGCCCTAAGGGGGTCTCCTGAACATCAACACTTAAACAGAGAGGGAAGGGGATCTTGTGTTGTATCTCAGGCTAAAATTCACCTTGCTCTCTCTGACAAACCAGCCAAACTTATGAAGAAAGAAGTTTATTGTGAGGTTTCAAACAAATCAGAATATAAGCAGTAAAAAGTCAATAGTACAAGGTAAAAATCCAATAG